CCCACCCCCACCCCGCTCCTGGTAACCACCTTCCGCTCTCATTTCTACGAGTTCGATGGTTTTAGCTTCCACGTGTAAGTGGGGTCACGCAGTATTTGTCGTTCTGTGTCTGGCTTATTTCACTCAGCACATCCTCCAGGTTCGTTCATGTCAGATGCGGCAGAATTTCCTATCTTAAGGCCGAATACTCCATCGTGTTCGTCGCGTTTTATTCATGCGCTCGTCCACGGACGCTTAGGTCGTTCCCGTATCTTGACTGTCAATGATGCTACAGTCGAACACGATAGTACAGACGTCTCTGAGACAGTGATTTCATTTCCTTCAGACGTGTCCCCAGAAGCGGAACTGCTGGGTCATGTGGTAGTTCTGTTTTTAATTTTGTGAGGCCTCCGTCGTCTCCCACAGTGGCCGGGTCAGTTTACATGCCCTCCGCGGTGCACGCGGGTTCTCTTTCTCCTCGTGCTCACCAACGCTGACCTTTTGACATTTTGGTGGTAACCATTCTAACAGGTGTGAGGTGCCATTGTTTTGATTTGCATTTCCCTGATGATCAGTGACGTCGAGCATTTTTTTATATACCCGCTGGCCATTTGTATGCCTCGAAAAACGTTCAGCCATTTGCCCAGTTTTAAATTGGGACGTTTATTTTTTCGCTATTGAGTTACATGAGTTCCTTACTTTTGGATCTTAATCCCTTATCAGATAGATGGTTTGCAAATATTTTCTTCCGTTTCGTAGGCCGCCTTTTCATTTTGTTGATGGTTTATTTTGCCGCGCAGAGGTTTTGGTTGGATGTAGTCTCTGTTTTTGGTGTCATTCAAAAAATTATCGCCAAGACCAATGTCAAAGAGCTTTTCCTCTGCATTCTCTTCTAGGAGTTTTACGACCGGTTTCAGGTCTGTGTTTCGGTCTTTGATCCACTGTGAGTTGAGTTTTGTATATAGAGTGAGGTGAAGGGTTACTTTCTTTTGTGTGTGTATATCCAGTTTTCCCAGCATCATTTATTCGAGACTGTCCTTTCTCTGTTGTATATTCTTGGCTCCTTTGTCAAAGACGAGTTGACTGTAGACTCAGGACTTGAATTAGGGAGGTAACTGGCACTGTACTTAGCTACCTACTTGACAGATAGGACAAGGGACTTGGGAGGACTTATTCTACAATAATGGGGGTGCTTTTCACCAAAGATGAGAGACACCGAACAAACAAAACAAAATGGCCACTCTGTAATTCAAATTGCACGTAGAATGCACGCCTGTTTCTTGTGAGAATACAGAACCTGGGGAGGAGTTGAAAGCACAAAACATTGAGATCTTGTCCTATCTTTTTATAAAATGAGTTTTTGTTCTGCTTTATAATTTCGCAATGTCTCACATAAAAATATTTTTGCCACCTCCCAAGTTACTGAAATAAAGTTAATGCTTCAGGAGTGGATGTCGCGAGTTCCTCAGCTCCTGTCGCAGACTGGACCCGACAGGCAGGCACTGGGTGTGGGCTGGGCGGGAGGGCACACGGCCTGGGCGGGAGCTGGGCCATGTGGGTGGGCGGGGAGCCGGGCCGTGGTGG